AACTGACAGACGGGTGATGGTGTGTATGTGTGTGTGTGTGTGTATAAGTATATTCTTATAAATATTTGTGTATATATAAATATACACACACATATATGTGTAAGTATATAGCATCTATATAATATATAAATATAAAATATGTATTGTGTATGTGTGTATGTATATGTATGTGTGTGCATATGCACACAAATATTAATGATAGTAAAAAAATTAAACAGAAAAAAAGGAGGAGGAGCTATTGTGAGGGAGGTCTTTTAATTTTTGATAGGGAAGCCTTCCTCAGGTGGCCTCACTGAACATGCAGTAATTGCGAAAATACCTAAATGGGCAGAGCAGAGCATTATAAGCAGAGGAACACCAAGTGCAAAGGTCATGAAGTGGAAGATTTATCAGGAATGTCTGTTGAACAGCACTGTGATCAATGTGGCTAGACCTTACTGAATAAAAGAATAGAGAAGATGATGGATGATTGGGTTGAAGCAGAGATAATATAGGGCCTTATCATTAATCTCAGAGACTTTGGATTTATTCTGAGTGAGATGAGAATGAACTGAAAAGTTGTAGTCACATGCATGACATGGTTGACTTCTAGATGCTGGACTAAAATTAATCTTGGAGCAGATATAACCAAACCAAAACCAAACCCGTTGCCATCAAGTTGATATAGCTACCCTACAGGACAGAGTAGAACTGCCCCATAGGGTTTCCAAGACTATAATCTTTTCGGAGGTAGACTGCCACATCTTTCTCCCGTGGATGTGGGTATGACAAAAGCAGAAATATTAAGGATATCTCTAAAAATTTGTTCTGAGCAACTGGAGTTTCTAGTTAATGAAAAGGAGAAGCTGTGAAAAGATTGGTTTGACATATACAATATTGGATGTGGAGATGTTGAGTAGAAAGTCAAATTTACAAATATGTGGTGGGGAGGTCTGGACTCAAGTTGTAAATTAGTGAGTAATTAGCATGCAATGGTATTTAAAGTTATAAGAATGAATTAAATAAATAGAAAAGAGTTGTCATTGTTAGGTGCCATTCAGTCGGTTCTGACCCATAGCGACCCTATGTGCAACAGAACAAAATGCTGCCCAGTCCTGTGCCATCCTCATAGTCATTGTTATGCTTGAGCCCATTGTTGCAGCCACTATATCAATCTATCTCATTGAGGGTCTTCCTCTTTTTCACTGACCCTCTACTTTACTGAGCACAATGTCCTTCTCCAGGAACTGATCCCTCCTGAGAACATGACTAAGTATGTAAGATGTAGTCTCACCATCCTTGCTTCTAAGGAGCATTCTGGTTATACTTCTTCCAAGACAGATTTGTTCGTTCTTTTGGCAGTCCATGGTATATTCAGTATTCTTCACCAATACCATAATTCAAAGGCGTCGTAGAGTGAGAGTTTTCAGACCCAAAACTGGACAAATAACGATCAGAGTAGTAAAAAGTTGCCTGTAAAGGTCACAGGGAAAAATTCGCTAGAAAGGTAAAAGGATGATTGGAGGTTATGGTGTCCTGAAAGTTAAATGACAAAACAGTTTTAAGAAGAAAATGATCAATGTACATATGCTACTGACAGGCTGAGTAGGATTGATGTAAATTTGACTATTGAACCATGCAGACCACAAGCAATTGTAGACTTGGGTAAGAGTAATTATAGACTTGGGTAAGAGTTGTTTTGATGAAGTGGGGGCAAAAGTCTGATTTGTGTGGGTTCCAAAGGCAATGTAGGAGGAGAAATATGGAACAATGAGTAGAGATGCCTCTTTCAAGCGGCTTTGTTTAAAGGGAAGAAGAGAAATGGGGCTTGGTTAGTGTATGTACCAATAAGAGAGAGAAAAAGAAATATAATGTATAGGTGAAGAGGTTGGATGGTTGCAGCTCGCTGAGTACATGCCATTGGAGGAGTATGGTGTGTAAATTATTTTCTAATTGTTTCTCTTTTCTCAGTGAAGTAGGTAGCATGGTCAGTATCTGAAAAAGAGAATGGGAGAGGAAGTGTTGAAAATTTGATTGCAGGAAAAGGTTTAAACAGAGATTCTAGAAGTGTGTCCCTTGAACCAACAGCATCAGCATAACCTGAGAGTGTATTAGAAATGCAAATTATCTGGTCCCACCCTAGAACTTCTAAATCAGAAATTCTGACAATGGGGTACAGCAATCTGTGTTATAATAAGCCATCCAGATGATTCTAATGCACAATAAAGGTTGAGAACTGCTGATTTAAAAGATTTCGAGAGTAATGGGGAACATAAATATAGTATAATTCCCAGGAATATTCTAAGGGAGCTTGTAGTTAAAAATGAAGTGTTTAAAGTGAAACCTATCAACATGGTTGTGTGTCTTAGCCAGCCATTTTCAGCTGTGCAGGTGGAGGTAAACAATCTATGGATACTCCTTAAGAACAAGTGGAAGCAATATAACTACAGATACTAATAGATAGTAGATACAAGATAGAAGCAAGTAGGAGCAAAGCGTCTGTGGATACTAGATAGAAGCAAACTAATTGATTATAAAAGTTGACCAAGAAATTAAAGCTGGGTATGAAGGTAAATGAGGTCTTGAGATGACTGACAGTGAAAACATGATAGGATCAATGGATGTAGGTTTCAATGGAGTCAAAGAATTACTGGAGTTGGGGTTGGGGATAAGTTGTTTCTGAAGATTTTTTTCCAGTCTGATGAGCATAAGTTTTTAATTTTTATAAGGTCTTATTTATGTATTTTGTCTTCTGTTTTTGCCTGTGCTGTACTATTTGTCACTCTATTTTTTACAAAAGATTAGTTCCCATTGTTTTCTCCCTATGTTTTATTCCAGGAATTTTATGGTTTTAGGTTTAACATTTAGCTATTTGGTCCATTTTTGAGTTAGTTTTTGTATATGGTGTGAGGTTTGGGTCCTGTTTCCCCAAGTGATTCTTATGTATACCTTCCTGGGACCTTGTTAGAAATGCAACTTTTTAGCAGGGATTTGAACTAGAATGAACTAGTTTGAAGCCCTGCAGATTTCATTGACAGAACAAAGTGGAGGAAACCTTCAGAAAAAAATACTAAGTATATTTTGATAATGATTTATTGTGAATACCAGATATCACAGTGAGAGGTTTCCAAAAGACGAGAAAGGTAAGAGATGTGGTTGCTTAAGGAGTAAAGTCTCAGGGAGGAGACTGATCTGAGAATGCTGGTTTGTGCTGACTCGTTCGAGGAGCCCTGGTGGCACAGTGGTTAAGAGCACGGCTGCTAACCAAAAGGTCAGTAGTTTGAATCCACTAGCTGCTCCTTAGAAACCCTATGGGGCAGTTCTACTCTATCCTATAGGGTCACTATGAGTTGGAATCAACTCAATGGCAGTGTTTTGTTTTTGTTTTTTTTTGGCATAAAATTACCATTATGGTCTCTCAGCTCTAAGTCTGAGTCTTGGAGTGGGATTGGTGGAAGGTCTTTCCATAATTAAAAAGATTTCTGGGACTTTCCAGGCAGCAGTGGGCAGCAGGAGGGAGAGGAGGGTCTTACTCAGAATTAAATTATTCTCTTATAGTCTGCAGATGGAGGGCTGCAGAATAAGGCTCTTATACCAAGTACATAGGTTTCCTTTGATTTCTGCTGATGGAGGCCTCTGGGCTAGTAAGGGATCAGATTACTAAATAAAATACAAACCCATTGCCAATCGAGTTGATTCTGACTCATAGTGACCCTATAGGACAGAGTAGAACTGCCCCACAGGGTTTCCAAGGAGTGGCTGGTGGATTCAAACTGCTAATCTTTTGGTTAGCAGCCAAACACTTAACCACTGTGCCACCATAGAGTTTTATTTTATACGATTGAATTTAAGCTGAAAAATGAGAAAATGTATGTTATTGAAAGAATAACTGTGTATTTTTAATTCTAAAAATGTCTTTGTTACCCTGAAATATTCCTGTAGTGCTGGTCCTGACAGAAGATAAATTAGGAGTTAAACACTATCTTACTATCAATTCAAGAGTGTTCCATTGCCAGAGGAGCAAAAAAATTACGTTGGCTGGTTTCATCAGTAAGATAAACTCTTTCAAGGACCCCAAATATAGATGACAATGCAATTCTGGTTTATATTTAATTTTAACTTCCACCTGAGACCTTAATGTGAATATTTCCTGAGTTTCTGAGGGAATGCTAGAGAAATCTTTCGTTGTTTTTAACATAAAGACATTAGATACATAAAACTGAAATGTCTCAATTGGACAGTCACCTTATAGAACATGAGTCAAACCAAGCTCCTGGTTTTGATGCACAGCCCTCTCATTAGAGTAAAGTGTAGAATGGATACTGAAGAGAACCTCTTTGACTGATGAATGATGCATACATGGAAAAGAGCACTAGGTTTGGATTTCATCCTACATCTAACACAATAGTAGCAAATATGATGCCAAGTGCTTTCCTACCTCACCTAATCTGTAAAGCATCCCTAAATGGTAGGTAGTTTTATCCCATATTCCTAACCACTATTATTACTACTATGCGACCTGTCTCTGAGACTTTGTGATAGTCGTTCTACCTCTCTGGATCTCAGTTAACTCAAAAAATTTTAAAAGTGTATATGTGAGTGACTTTATAAAAGTGATTTTATCCTCAAAGTTATAATTAAAAGATTTCTGTTTATCTACCACAGCTGCTAATGATGAAACAAAAATTTACCACACCTTACCAGCAAGCTCAGGAAGAAGTACTGATTTTCTTTCTCTTTAAATTTGCAGATACGTGTAATTATTGATGGATATATCATAGGGATAACTTTGGAGGAATTTCCTTCAATATAAAATGATCTGTTTGTATCACTCATAATATTGAGTATATATGTTTACCCTTACCTAGTGTCCTTTGGGACATTTCAGAATGTTGTCTGTTAATATTTTCAAAAAATTAAAAGAGACTGCTCAATACTCCTCCATTTATTTTTAATATTCTGTTATTTTTATAGGATATAGAGTGTGATTGACCCTAACATTGATTTGGCTGATCCTCACCATGAACCGTGCTTTTAGCAGGAAGAAAGGTAGGTGTGCCCATTTTAAAGGATCTGGGAGTCAATTCAATATTACTACAAAAATCAAGCAAAGATGTTAAGAAATCAGTTTTTCCTATTATAAAACCAGACTGCTCAGAGGTGAAGTTTAGACTAGAAAAACACAGGTCTGGAAACATTGCTAATTGACATATTTTGTTAGTAGCATAATGAAAGAACTAAGTTGTTAAATACACTAGTTCACAATACAAAGGTAGCAGTATACGCGCAAGCAATTTTATGCTATTGTGTGAAATTGCAAAGAGTAAAGTGGTATGAGATTTAGTTTCAACTTCACCTTAGGTAACCATGTAAAATTAAATTCCTTGGGCCTTACTTGAAGTAACAGCAATGAAAATTCATAAGTGTGTTTGTGTTTCATGTTTTATTGACTATTATGGAGGATTGGGGATAGGTGAATTGACGGCAATGAGACCAAAATAAATTTGTTATTAATTTTCAGACAAGGATTTAAAAGAAATGTAAAACTAATATATCATAATCACTGATATAGGAATGAAAAAGCTAATTACGTGTTATTTTTTTAAAGGGCAGGAAAACAATTCATTTGACAAAATATTTCATGATGAACTAATAAAGGAAAAACAGGAAAACCAGTTGTATATTTTTTCTAGCTTAAACCAAATCAAACCCATTAACATGGAGTTGATTCTGACTCATAGTGACCCTATAGGACAGCAGAACTGCCCCACAGGGTTTCCAAAGAGAGGCTGCTGAATTCAAAATACTGATCTTTGGTTAGCGGCTTAGCTCTTAACCACCGTGCTACCAGCGCTCTTTTTGTAGCTTAAAACCACTGATGTCTTTTCTAGCTTAGTGGAGTTAAAATAATGTATCTGCCATTCTGGAAAGAGTTCTTTAGTGGTAGGCACAGGGTTCTGTCATGCTTAAAATGTTATCAAGGAATTGAGAGACGATACTTCAACAATGCTAATCAAATTAGTAGATGATTGAAAGCAGGAAGAGATAATGTATGTGATTCAATTACCCACATGTGCAAAAAAATGACAAGTGAGGTCGCGTTCTACATTGTAAACTTAATTTAAAAAAAAAAGTTGCTGTGGAGTCTATTTCAACTTATGGTGACCCCATGTGTGTATAAGGTGTTGTGGATTGCCAAACTTGGGTCCAGAAAGTATAAACACTTTTATTGTTATTTATGTATTGCTGTTATTTTGAAGATGCACCTTAAGTGCCATATATGTAAAAAAAGGCTGAAGAATAAAGTCAACAGTGTGATTATCAAAGACTGTAACAAATAGTCTAGAACAAGGAAATAGAGTGTTCTATTCTATTCCATGTAATCATGGACAATGTGCTCTTTCTAAAAGGGTTATTTGGCGCATTGACACATGTCCAGATGAGAAAGACTGGGATGATGATATGCCTCTCAGCCATGCAACAGGAACCATGGTGAAGAACCCTTAGTGTAATGATCATTGCCTTTCAAAGTTTATGAGACTCAGCTTAATAAAGGAGAAATAGATATAAATGATAAAGTTTTTGAATTAAGGTTGCCCCCTTTTGCCGTCGAGTCGGTTCTGACTCATAGTAGAACTGCCCCATAGGGTTTCCAAGGAGCGCCTGGTGGATTTGAACTGCCGACTTTCTGCTTAGCAGCCGAGCTGTTAACCACTATGCCACCAGGGCTTCTGATTTAACATAGGAAACTAAATTCCAACAAAGCCATGAAAAATATAATAGAATTACTCAAAATACTAACTTTTTTGTCATCAAAGTGAAAGGTGTTCAAACATTTGGATTGGGTACAGAGGATAAATGTTTTCAGTAGGGATTTAGATAATGTAAACCTGAAGGCACTTTCCAGCCTGGGAAAGCTAGGAACTTATTATTTTACTTCCTTCACTGAAAAAAAGGACTCCAAAGTGGTATTTATTGATGTTTGTAGCTTGCTTCTGATTTAAAACATATACCAAAAGTAATGTTTCTTTTTTATTCTCTTTCCCAGTAACAACGTGTAAACACAATTCTATAATATAATGAGCTAATGAGTAAGAAGTCTTACATTACAAATCATGCTATCTTATTTTTTAAAAAAAACTTCTGTACCTTCTCCTTTTTTCATATGGAATTCTCCTTCCCATGCTTTTAAGGTTGAAATTCCAAATTTCTAATTTATTATTTGTTTGAAAGGGTGGCATTTCATTAAGAAATCCCAAGGGTTGTATAGTGATTTGAGTAACTAGCCATTGTAAATTTAAATATGTCACATTTGATCATAGTAGGAGTGAAACCATAGGAAAAATTACAGTTATTTGGAGAATCGAGAAGCAGAGGCACTTGTTATTTCCTGCTTTGCTTCATTGACTTTAGATTTCTTTTGATCTCTAAAGATCTCTTATTTTTCAAGTCCAATGACAAATATTCTTATCAGGAAATTATTGATCAATGTTTTACTCCAAGTTATAAGTTGGTACCGGAAGTTCTACCTTAAGTTCGTGAACGAATTCTGACTCTCATTTAGTGAGGCTGTTAGAGAGAAAAACTTCTTAGAGCCTCTGCCTCGGGTTTCAACCAATAGTACTTTTTTATTTAACTTTAATATGAAATGGAAAACTTTAATTTTATGAGAGGATTTATATATCTTGACAATCTGGAGCTATAATTATACCTCTAGAGAATATATAATTAAACTCATATTTCCAGTAACTGGCATCAATATACACTGTGTATAGTATTCTAAAAAGAGCAAGATGGTCTTCAGTTAGTAAAAGGTTATCTCATTTTTTTATAGATATCCAATTTACTTATTCTTCATGTGCCATTTTAGTAAATGATCATGGTTCTCAGAAGCCTAAGGAAAAAAGAGTATCGTGTTAAACCTAAGTATAAGTGTGCTTTTTTTCCCCTTCCTTCTTCTTTGTATTAAATCCCCAATTGGTAATTTGTCTGAACTTTTTTGATTGCATTAGCCAGGTACTACATTGGTTTTGTTTGCAAATGTTCTAAGTATTAGAGTTGCTTATAGATTATAAAAAATACTGAATGTCTCAGAATTGCATCATTTTGAGCTATTTTGAATAGCAACATAAAAATTAATCTAACGTCATATAATCATAGATTAAATTGTAATGAATATATTTGTTTTGTATTTTCTTTCCCTAGATTAGCTTTCGCATTGAATTTTTAAAATTTTGTATTTTAGTCATGACATCAAAATAATAAATCATTAAATAAAAGAGCCTAAAACATAGCATGCCAATAAACATGATTAAATAATTCAACTAATTGCATTTTATTTTCTTTAACTCATCTCTTGACATACTGATAAGTAGATATCATAATGCATAGTACTTAAAATATTTATTTATATTTTCATTTTTTATGGAAATTTTATTCAAATAAAATCCAATCATTCAACAACATTTAGTTTTAAATTCTATACACTCAAAGTAGGTGCTTTCACTGTATTAAGTTCTGGTGATACAAGAATAATGAAATCACTGTATCTTTCTTGATGAGCTCTTAATTTAATCTAAATGCATTTTGAAAATGAAAGTTTACTGGCCCAGCAGTTAGAGTAGTTTGACACTTGTAAAATATTTTGAAATGTTGGCATTTCATATGGGTGTTCAGTATTGAGTTAGTGATTATAGTTTAATTTCAGGGAAGAGGGATAAACTCTAGAATGTCTACATTCCCGTTTCTGCATGAGTCCCAATATCTAATTGCTTCTGTGAGCACTTTATAGCGACCAAGGACGATCATCTGTATTCTCTCCTGAAGGTTCAACCATATTTTTATGAGTTGGTATAAAGAGTTTTTCATTATATCACTGTTTTTTCTCTGCCAAATTATAAATTAGGATGAGAACAAAGACTTAGTGGTACAGTGGTTGAGAACTCAGCTGCTAACCAAAAGGTTGGCAGTTCAAATCTACCTGTCGCTCCTTGGAAACCTGTGGGGCAGTTCTGTTCTGTCCTTTAAGGTCATTATGAGTGGGAATTCACTCAACATCAATGGGTTTTTTTTTTTCCATGTTTTATAAGTGTACTACCTATACTAGAGGCTGTGCAACGAATTACTAAAACATCAGCGCTTAATAATGCAGTATGGATGCATACTTTTGTTATTGAGAAACTACAGTTTATTCTCTTGTAATTTAATCTTGTGATTATTTCAGTCCATCACCAGGAACAGCTGTGTATACTCACCCTCTTTCTAGGTCACTACTATCTGACATTTTATAACAGAAGCAATATCATCAGCTTTCAAATAATAGTGACTTTCAGGAGAAAGCAATTATCTCCCTGCCTCAGGATTGCTATAAAGCATTATATTCAGACTTTAGTGAGACTTTACATCCTCCTGAGAAGTGATATATGTCTTGGAAAGAGAGACAAGAGAAGAGTTGAGTTAAGGGGTAAAAAATAAAATTGGATATCTGTTCCACAAGGCATATCTTTGGTGTTTTTATTATTTTGGTGTACAATATTGTGATTTATTTCTTTCAATATAGTACAAGACCAAGATTATATCCCAAATCTAAATACAACTTATTCTTGAATTAATCATTTCACTATTCATTAGCAATCATAAGGAGAAAACTACAAGTGAGATAAAATCCATATAAGAAATAAATATTTTACACATTAAATATCAATGCTATATTGATTTTTGAACCTTCTCGAAATATTCCACCCAAGTACTGCTATCACATACCCACCCTAGTAAGCAGAGATAGCCCCAAAAGGTACCATGAGTGGGGAGTTTTATTGATCCCTCATGTTTTCTCTAAGAAAACCTTGTGAATTTCACATTTTACCCCAAATATGTATAGTAGTGATGCACTAAAAATATAGCGCATTATCCTTTTAATTGTAAAATAAAATTGATATTCCAAGAGTTTGTGCCATTTTTTTTCTGTGCCTTCAAATTCCTCCAGTTTGAGAAGAACAATTACTAATATCAAATTAATTTCTATCACATCATTTTAAAGTGTTCTAAATTGAAGTTGAAAAAATTTTGTTAGTGATCCAAAATGTTGTCTGTCTTTATGTAATATATTTGATGATAAATTCTGTTTGTAATTTTCATTCTAAATTGCAAACTCCTATAAAATAAAATACAAACAAATACACACAAATTGCACTAAAGAAGATAATATATTTGATTATTCAGAAGTCTTACTGTAAATGCTGCTTCATAAACAATAAAAAAGCCCATTTAATTTGTATAAACATTCTTTTTTTGCTTTGTCCCCTCTATACATTTCACAAAATATTTGAGAATAATATGTGAAATAAATTAAAGTCAAGAATTGAATGAGAAACATATTTTTCCATTTCTAGCAATACTATACAATACATAATTTCAATATTTTTGTCAGGTTGAGTTTCTTTCATGTCTAATATTTTATCACAATTATCTAAGAAACATTTCAAATTACTATATTTAAGAATATTTATATCCACACCTCCTGAGAGTAGACCCTCAATTAATTTGTCTAAATTTAGAATAAAACAGTTATCCTAATATTGATTTAATTTCTAAATAAACATAATATGTTGTGTTATTTCAACTTTTGCAATTGTTAGTTTAATGTTAAAATTTTCTTTTAATAACTAGATAATTCTTGCTGCCAAAAAATAATAACAATCACTATGAGTAAAGAACAGATTACTTTTTGTTCATCAGAGAATTAACAGAAAAGAATCTGTAATTCATGAGAGCATAAAGAAAAAAGATATTTGTTTTTAATCATGATTAATATAATTATTCATAGCCCAAATGATGTTGTTATTTTTATATATTCTAAAAAATTTATTATCATTTGTACTATTTGAAAATCTTTGGAAAGGACAGCTAGGGACTTTTACAGCATGGAAAGAATCCTGAAATCAGGCTCCAACTACGTTTTCTTATATATGACTAGTTTTTCTTAGTCAACTTACCAAAAGAGTCTCAGAATTAGAAATGCTGCTACTCGTCTTGGACTCTCTAAAATGCTAATGCATAATATGACACCATAGAGCCTATAATTTCATTTAACACTGTGTATTCTTCATTGCAGACAAAACATGGATGCATACGCCTGAAGCTTTATCAAAACATTACATTCCCTATAATGCAAAGGTAAAAATAGTTCATATAATGTTGTTTAATTTTATTGTTATAGTTTTACCACTAATTCATGGTTGATCTTACAAAAGTTTCTTGTACATTAGTATTTCCTGGTAAGGTATCTCCGAAAAAAATGTACTTAAAAAAAATAATGGTGTGGTACAGGGCATGGAAAGTTATTTTTTCTCTCCAAATAAGTGATTTCTTTAGAAAAAGTATATCCTTTATAGTTTCTTTTAGGTCGTGCATGTATTTTCTTTGAATGATTTTGGCTATTGTTAAAATAACTTGCAATATCATGGTCTATAGGAAATAAAACAACAAATATCTTAGCTTCCTCTGAAAAATTTTAATTTTACATTAGCCAGACGAAATATAAAAAGCTAACCTAGAAATGACAGAAATGACCTGCAATTTTAATGAGTGTAATTATCATCCAAAGTAAGAGACCAAAAACAAAAAACAAGCAAACAAAATGCACCACGACCACCATGACCACCAACAACAAAAAAACCATTAACTATTAAGAAAACAGAGGAACAAAAGGCATGCTTGTATTTTAGTGCACCTGACCCAAGTTGAAGCCATGGTCTTTTCAATCACCTCATATGCATGTGAAAGCTGGAAAGTGAATAAGGAAGACGGAAGAAGAACTGATGCCTTTGAATTATAATGTTGGTGAAGAATACTCAATATACCATGGACTGCCAGAAGGATGCACCAATCTGTCTTGGAGGAAGTGCAGCCAGAATGCTTCTTAGAAGCAAGGATGGCAAAACTTTGTCTCATGTACTTTGGGCATGTTATCAGGAGGGACCACTCCCTGTAGAAGCACATCATGCTTTGTAGAGCGTAAAGCGAAAAAGATAAGTTGACACAGTGGCTGCAACAATGGGCTCAAACATAGCAATGATTGTTAAGATGGTGCAGGACTGGACAGTGTTTCATTCTGTTGTACACAGGGTCACTATGAATTGAAACTGACTTGATGGCACCTAACAATAACAAAAACATATTTTAGTGGTTCTTTTGTTCAGGTCGCTGCATTTAAATGGAGAAATAGAAGCATTAATCTATACTCTTGTTTCATCAAAGATTTGATTTTTGTTGTTGTTGTTGGAAAAGTGAACAAAATGAACGAGTGCAATTTAGAAAAGGGTTTTTAAAAAAGAAAGTTGTTATTTTGTAGTTAGTGAGCACCAAACCTAAAATAATTTTCAGAGAAATCTATTTCTATATTTGCATGAGACAGAGGTGAATTAAAGAATTGGGTTGTAATATGAGAGTGAGTCAAATGTAAGAAACTGAACTTTGGAGAAAAAGCATGAGGGCAAACAGAAAGTAATAAAATGATTTTTATAAGAGAATTTAAAGGCTGATGGATTAGTAAACTTTGTTTTGAGATACAGTGAGATCAGGCAAGAGAGATTATTTTAGGAGAAATAAAAGAATGTTTATTGAGCAGAAAGCCAATTGTGTTTGATAGAGAACCTCTAGGAATGCTAGTGTAAGTCTGAATCAGCAGGAAGAAGCATTTAAAGGGCCGTCTAGAAAAAGTTATTCCAGAGCTGGTGGTCAGCAGTGAGCTTTGTAGAGTGCAGCAACTATTTTTTTTGCTTACTTTGCATCAAATAAGATGCTCTAAAATGTTTCAAGTATAAAGCTAATATACCTAATATCACCAGAATATTTATGAATATCCCTGTAAAGCTAACTTGACAATTGATAGTCATGATTTTGCATCATAGCAATTGTATTTGCATGATTTAACTTATTTTAGCTAACTGAATAAGAAAATTGGTTAATACTACTCATGTCTTCCAAAGATATTCTTAATATTAACCATTGATAATCTGTATGAAAAAGGAATTTTAATCTAGAAAGCCACTATTATTTTTAAATGCATGCTCATTTTTGATGATGTTTTCCTTCATTTTATAACTATATGTGTAAAGTGAAACTACCCAGGATTATTTTTATGTGTGACTGAAATAACTAGTATTGAAAAACTGGTTTATAAAAGTTTGAAAGATTATATTACAATTAGAACTAGATGGGTTAAGGTGACAATAGAAGTCTGATTGTTTCCCTGGAAAAATTGTCTGTGCTAATTCACAGGTGCATAACAACCTTAAGAAAACCTACATGAAATAGAGTGTACAGAAATATCTTCCCAGACTTTGGTCAGTGAAATGTGGAAAGGCAGATTCCTTTTGTCCATTCTAATACGGCCTTCTGAGTGATAATGTATATCATGTGTGTACCAAGTAGTGTTAAAACTATTTGAACAACATTACTTTTTTTCTAAATTCCTTTCTTTGTGACACTTTTTAAATTGGCCTTTAAGGAGGGTTATATTTGAAGATTTTCTGTGTCTTTAATTAGACTATCTTCCACTTGAGAACTAAGCCCATGTACACAGGAAGTAGTTTGGCACGATAGGAAGAAATATAGACTGTAGAACTAAATTGCCTTGGCTCATATCCTGACTCCAACACTTACTAGCTATGTGTTTTTGGGCAAATTACTTAGTCTTTCCATGTCTGATTTTTGTCTGTTAATTGGGATAATAAAAGTACTTTCCCAATAGAGTTGTTATACAAATAAAAGAGTTAGATGAAGTGCTTACAAGTATGTCTGAAATAAAATAACTGCTCAATAAATGTTACAAATTGTTAATTTATATTTTCATTTTTCAGAGGACTTACCAAGGGGCAAGTCTCATAGTAGGTGTTAAATATGTATTTGATTTATTAATTATAATAGCATTGCCAAGGCAAATAGACAATAGTTACATTTCTTTGAACTTCAATATATGTCAGGTACTGTGCTGGTGTGTTTCTACATTACCTCATTAGTCTTTGCCAAGACCCAGTACTGTGAGTATTAATGTTATTGCCATTTTACAAATTGGAACACTAAGGCAGAAAGACTGAGTAATTTGCCTACTGTCACAAATCTAGTAAAACAGAGCTAGATTAAAACACTGAGGTCTATTTAACTTCAAGGATTTGCTTTTTTTTCTGTATGTAACATCACTTGAATTTTCATTCAGTAAATGGGTATTTTGTATAAGGCACTTTGTTGAAGCTTCACTCAATATTGCTAGAGATTTGGAGCTACATAAGTCATGCCTTCTTTTCTGACGGAGCTTATTGTCATTAGGGAAAAGTCATAGAAACGTTACTAACTTAAAGGCAAATCTCATTCAGGGCAACTCAAACAGCACAGAAAGCTGTAGAGATTCAGAGAATGGTGAGCCACTCCTATTTCTTGAAAGTGAGGGCAAGGCAGGATTTCCAAAGTCAAAACAAGAGTGGAGTAACTGCTTCAGGCTGATAGTTTTGGGAGAGTAAGTGCTCAGTCAGTAATGTATAAGGCACAAACTGCATATGACAAGAGTTAGCCTGCAGTGTAAAGTACTAGTGATTCTAAAGTACTGTTATCAGTCAGGGTTATTCCAGAGAAACCAAACAAGTAAAATATGTATCAATTATATATATATAAGTAGAAGATATATGTATCTCCATTTTATATATATATATATATGGAAACCCTGGTGGTGTAGTGGTTAAGAGCTACTGCTGCTAACCAAAAAGTTGGCAGTTCAAATCCACCAGCTACTCCTTGGAAACCCTACGGGAAACCCTATGGGGCAGTTCTACTCTGTCCTATTGGGTCACTATGAGTCAGAATCGACTTGTGGCAACGGGTTTGGTTTGATTTTATATATATGTGTATATTGTTCTCTCTCTATATATTGTTGTTGTTGTTAGGTGTCGTTGAGTCCATTTTCAACTAACAGCAACCTCTTGTAACAGAGTAGAACTGCCACCATAGGGTTTTCTAAACTGCAGTCTTTATGGAAGTAGATTCCCAGGCCTTTCTCCCATAGAGCTGCTGCATGGCTTCAACACCCCAACCATCCAGTTAACAACTGAACACAGGACTGCTGTATAATACATTTTACATATATTTTATAAAAATATTTATATATTTTATAAAAAAAAGAAATTTATTTCAAGGAATTGGATTACATGACTGTGGGGATAATGAGTTTACCATGTTACCATGTTGGTGCCGTGGAGTTGGTTCTGACTCACAGAGACCCCATGTACAACAGAACAAAACACTGCCTGGTCTTGTGCCATCCTCACAATTTTTGTTGTGCTTGAGCCCGTTGTTACAGCCAATGTGTCAGTTCATCTCGTTGAGGTTCTTCCTCTTTTTCGCTGACCCTCTACTTTTCCGAGCAAGATGTCCTTCTCCAGGCACTGGTCCCTCCTGATAACATGTCGAAGTATGTGAGATGAAGTCTTGCTATCCTTGCTTCTAAGGAGCATTATGGCTGTACTTCTTCCAAGGCACATTTGTTTTGTTCTTTTGGCAGTCATGGTATATTCAATATTCTTCACCAACACCGTAATTCAGAGGCATCCATTCTTCTTCTATCTTCTTTATTTATTGTCCAGCTTCCTCATGCATAGGGTAGTGTCTTAGGCTGAGTTCTCTAGAGAAGCAGAACCAATAAAGTGTATAAATATATATATAGAGAGAGATTTATATCAAGGAAATGGCTCACGTGGTTGTAGAGAATGGAAGTCCCAAGTCAGTGGTCAGGATAGAGGCTTCTCCTGATTCAAGTAGCCACAGGGGCTGGCAAACTCAAGATTGGCAGATCAGAGAGCAGGGCTCTTGCTCACAGACTGCAACGATCGATGAATCCCAAGATTGGCAGGCAAGACTGCAGGTAAGCTGTTAGCTCAAGTCCCAAGATCCGAAGTTCAGACAAACGTGAGCCAGCTGCAGGATTTAGCATGAGCAAAAAGCCCCAGAGCCTTGCCAGAATGACTGCTTGTATTCAATGCAGGCCACATGCCCAAGGAAACTCCCTTTCAACTGATTGGCTACTCACAGCAGATCCCATCATGTGAGTGATCACATATCAAATCTCTAACAGGAAAGTGATCACATTATACGACCACCAAAACACTGAGAATCATGGCCCAGCC